TCGTTAATCTAATTTTTATAAAAAGTTAATCAAAATTCATAATTTTTTACGATCTTTCATATGACACAATTATTGCATATATAAACTTTAAAAAACAAATGAAGGTTTTTTATATAACCTTCTTCTTTTTTAATCTCGATGCGGATTATCCTGTCAAATAAATAAATAAATTCTGATATATGACCAAATTAAAGATATCGAATAAAAATGTTACTTAATAATTTTTACTGACTATAATTATATTAACAATTATATCCAAGTGACTACAAGGAAAAACGTCTCAAATAAATATTTGTGAACAAAAATGTCATTTGCTGTGAGTACACTTTTATAGTCACTGTGATATACTCTCTATTATCCTCCACTTCTTATAGTTGAAAATGGAACTTTTTTTACCATTCAAATATTCTACTTTAACTACATTTTATTTATTCATGTATGAGAATTATATATTTTGAAATCTATTGTAGAATTCGTCTCTTTACAATTTTTTTTAATTTGATTTTAAATTTCTTTTACTAATAGAAAATTTACTATAATGACGGTCAAAATTGTACATTGGCTACGTGAAAATAGGAAAAAAGAACGAAAGAAAAAAATAAAACATAATTTAATATAATGACGATTAAAGTTGTATATTGGACTCTAAATAACATTTTAGTGAAGAAGATGTGTAGTGTCAAATCATATTGCCAATGGTTTTCTAATGTTACTTGATTTCTTCTGACTAAGCACCGAAAAGAAATTAAATTTGATAAAAATTGTATATATAAAGTAAAAGATTAAAAACAAAGCACATTTACCGGAAAATAGTAGACGGAAACCATTAAATGGGACAGACACTACAAAAAAACACGCCGTTTGTCACGGATTTTGTCACGGACGGTAGTTCAAAAAATCCGTGACAAATGATTTTTTGTCACGGATTTGTCACGGAAAAAATCCGTGACACCAGGGGCGTGATAACTTTTTTGTCACGGAAATTAATTCGTGAGATTGTTTGTCACGGATTTGTCACGGCCACCGTCCGTGACAAAACACTTCACCGGAATCCCATCGCCTTTCATTTGTCACGGACGCATCCGTGAATAAATGTTTTTATTTTTCAAAAAAAATCTTTTTCCGTACCGTATTATTAAAGGTTACCGCTGGAAAATCAATAATTGAGTTTTTTTTGAAATTTGTCACGGAGTTGTCACGGATATATCCGTGACAAATGTTTTTCCGTACCGTATTATTAAAGGTTACCGCTGGAAAATCAATAATTGAGTTTTTTTGAAATTTGTCACGGATTTGTCACGGATCTGTCCGTGACAAATGCCCGTGACAACTTTGTCACGGCCGGAATCCGTGACAAAAATCCGTGACAAACGGCGTGTTTTTTTGTAGTGAGAGGGAGTAGTACTTATATTTGAAAAGAAAAAATTCCACTTTTAGTCTCATGACTATTATACCACTTCGACATTTGTTCATTTACTTTCAGATTGTCCACATTTAGTCCGTGATCATTATCCCTCACTACTCCTCGACCTTTTGGCCATAATTCCGGCAAATTTAGTCCACTTATCAACCTCAAAATCAATCTTTGCATTAAATTTTATATAAGGTTGGATTTTTCATATCAGTCTTTGCATTAAATTTGGTTTTTCATACCTAAAATCTGCATTAAATTTGTCGGAATTTTGGCCGGAAGGGCGAGGAATGGTGAGGGGATAATGGTCACGGACAAAATGTGGACAATCTGAAACTAAGAGACTAAATATGGAAGTGGTATAATAGTCACGGGACCAAAAGTGGAATTTATTCTATTTGAAAAAGTAATTTACAATTTGTTATTCTTGAGTTACAGACTTTATTATGTTTGTTTTATAATCACTCATGCACACTTACTTTAAACATTATTCAGTTTTTATAGCACAATACTATTAAAATTAGTTTACTAATATGTTATGAATAAATTATTTTGAAACAAAATACTTTGGCTATTTTACAAATTCGTATAAAAAGTACACAATGCACATTACAAAATCAGTACCGGGTAAATGCCAATCATAAATTTAATGATGTAAAAAGAACATTAATAGCTAAACACATCATTTAAAGCCAGGAGTATTTGAATCAACAAAATATAGATCACAAAATTCAACAAAACTCGAAACACATAAAGCTATAAACAAACGTAAAATCCAAAAATCAAAAGTATTATTTGTTTTTATCTTTAGTATTTGTAAACTTCATTTCAATCATAAATTTCAGTATCATTTTCATGTTTTTTGTAAAAACGGTTCATTCGACTACTTTATAATGAATAATTCTCTTTCGCTCTTTATGTGTTGGGGCTGGTACGTTGTTCGAGGTGGGCTACAAGAGTGATACGTCTAGTCCATTAAAATTTAAAATATGTATGTCAGGCTCAATTTTTTCTGTATATATGTGGTAAATAATAATAGGGGTGGGCATAAAACCCGAACCGAACCGGTACCGAACCGTTCCGTAATGGTATCGAACTGAATAACGGGTATTTAAATGGTTTTATAGATTTTTTTTATCCCAAACCGAAATCGTACCGTTTGAAACGGGTACGTGACCGGTCCTAGATTTTGAGAACCGAAAAATACCGGACCGAACCGTTCGAAAATAATGCATTTGAATTTTTTATATTTTTTCTATACCAATAGATCTCTTTTATAGACCAACAATTTTATACCCCAAGTATGTATTCATGTGTCCCTAAGATATCTAAATGTGTGTGTATATATATTGTTATTTTTTCTTTTTAGATAATTTATGTTATATTTTGGTATGTAATGAAAGAATATTAAAATGTTAGAAATCATTAATGACTATTCATTTGTAGTAATGTAGTGTACATGACTTTTTGTTATATCATGTTTGTGCAATTTTTACAACTTAATTAATATGGTTGCCGACCCCAAATTCTTTTGGGATTAAGGTTTGGATGTTGTTGTTGTTGTGGTTGTAATTAATATGATTTAAATCTTAGCTTTCAAGGTTCAACTATAAATTAAATTAAACTACGGAGTAATATTTAACGTAGAACGAAGAAGAACGTTGAAGATTTCTATTATATACTACCTCTGTCCCAAATTACTTAGCCAAACTTGACTTTTCAAGTCAACGGCCTCTAACTTTGACCAATTATTTAAGCTAATACATTTATGCAAAATTTAATAATTTTATACTTTTATAATAGTGTTTTTAACAAATAACATTTTCATATCATTTTCATATTATTAATACTTTCTCTATATAAACATATAATCGGTCAAAGTTAGACGACGTTGACTTGAAAAGTCAAGTTTGGCTAAGTAAATTGGGACGGAGGGAGTATTTATATTCAATAATTTGATGATATTTGTTTTTATATTTTCACATGAATTTAGTAAATTAAAGATGATATTTATCTCATGCGTCATCGTTTTGCTACAATTTTTTTAGTTGTGTTGCACTATTTGTGTATTTGTGAATTTCAGTACTACGTATGCAATTTCTTGTATTTATTTCAACATTTCATGTGAGTTGTTTGGTATAATGATATCTACTAATTGCAAGATTTGTACCGTTCCGAAATGACATGATACCAAACGGTTCTATCCTTGAAACCGGACCATACAGGACCTTTAAAAACATCACGAATACATTACGGGTTTTACCAATTTACCAAACCGCGCCCACCCCTAAATAATAATATTAATATGGGTGCTTCTACGGTGCACTCCTTAATTTGGTGTGTTTTGGTACACATCCTTTTTAACTACCCATCATCCTTTTTAACCACCCATCTCATTATATCTTAATCTTACGCCACCTAATATCCTCATTAACTAAACATAATAATTTGTCATTTTTGCATTTAGATCCTTCACCGGATTAGAAAAAAAAGGTTAAACTGAACAAAATCGTCAAAGGAGATTTATTTAAATAGGAATAAATAAATATTTAATTGTCAAAGTATGTGCAATGTTTAAAAGTATTCTAAATAGGAATTTGGCCTACGCTGACGTCGACGCCTGGTCAGATCTGAGCGTCACCGATCTGACCACCGACATTGCACATCTTGCCATGAACAACCACCGTACATTTGACCAGATCTAGCCACGTCGACCGCCGACGCTAAAGATCCGGCCTCTACCGCTAAAGATTTGGCCTACACTAACGCCGACACCGCAGATCTAGATCACCGGCATAGGGAACTAGGGGGCAATTTTTTATAGGTTTAAATATGATTAAGTCCCTGCAATTTTTTTTTATGTTTTTCATCCTTGTATTATGCATTATTTTGTTTTTAGTATATCACTAAAAAAAATCATCCCTATAAATTTTTTGAGGAAAATATGAGAGTTAAAAAAATAAAATCTAATCACTCACATTTTAAAAATACGTATTAAATTCCATTATTATCATCAGCGGTAGACTAAAAGAAAAACTAACATACATTTTTGAAATGAAAAAAAAAATTGCAAGGATACTATGTTTGCAGACTGAAAAAATATTTAAACCTTAATTATATTAGGAAGGACAAATATGGTATAAAAGTCCTATTTAAAAAATAAAAATATACATAGTCATATTTAGAAATTTAAGAAACAATTCAATCATATTTAGGCTAATAAATCATTCCACACACGTTAATCATATTTAGTAGCACAATACTAAAATGTGATTGGATAAGAAAATGTGTGTACCGGTGCACTCAAAATTTAGGAGTGCACCGTAGAATTTTCCTATTAATATAAGTCAATTTTACGTATTAGTTCTCTTACTTCTCTAGCTTCTTTACCTTTTCATTATTTCATACGTGCCAATTGTTGATTTTATTGGCTCCTAAGTTTTCTTGACGAAAATTACAGATATATAAAATAGAGCAGAAGTTTTTGAAATAACGTGTCGATTACTTCAGATAAAGAAGGTACCTCCTTTTTTCTGACAAAATCGAAGTGATATTTTATTTATAGTTATAATTTGTTACCTGTGCTGATAAAATTTTGAATACAAATCTTATCTTTTTCATAAAATAATCACTGTTTTATCATGATAATTTTACTCTTCATACTTAAAAAAAGTATGATTTGTAAGTTCTGGTATTTGGCTTTCACAAAAATTCCTATATCTTGAACCTACGCAAGATTTTAGTTTATTTCTTAACTATAAATTAAAACAACACACAACTTGTTTGCAACTTGTTTGGATATCATCTGGATAGAACTGTAGAGAGATGGGATTCTCATCAGGATTCAGATTTCAGAAGATAAAGCAGCATCGTCTTTGTGCTTAACCATGCCAGAATCAACAAGAACCGGAATTTCTGCTGCAAGCCATGGTGCAAGACCCAAACAGAGGGCATGTGCTATTCCAAACCTCGGGCTGGCAAAACCAGCAAGTAAATCAATATTCAGTGATAAAAATTAGAACTTAACGAGAACTGTAAACAAAATCCATATAATCAAAAGAAAAGAAAACCCATAATTTTTGTTTGCTTTACTATAATTACCAATTCTTAGCCCAGAGTGGCTTGAAATGCACCGTTAAGCAAATCTTTCCTCCTCGATACATCTAAACATTAAAAATTGACAAAATCACATACCAGAAGTGTAGTAAAATCAATGGATCCAAAATCTTCAAATCCCAAAAACAAAAATAGAGAACCTTTTCAGTCTTCCCATCGAGTTGAGGCAACTCGAGTTCAGGAGCGGTCGCGGGGTAGGTGACAGGGATGTCAAATTGGAGGTCAAATTCATGCTTGAGAAGATTGTGAACATACCAGCACTTGCCGGTCCACCGAGTCCCTTCTGGATTAGCGGCGGAGATACGAAACCAGTCATTATCCCTCGACTTGTTCATCGACGTATAGGTGATAAGTGCCTTGTACTCCTCTTTCAGCCGCTGTGTCCAGGCTGCGCCATCTCGCGGCCCCGCTTTCGTCATCAAAAGCGGGATCTGTGTGAGAGTTGATTTCGTATTTGGATCCCAACTCTCCATCCCCAAAACCAAGATCCAAGCTTGGGAGATTTTGGTCAATTTGGGTATAGGTTTTAGCAATTCACGGTTCCGGGAACGCAGATGCAAGAATATCACTCCTGAATCTTTTAGTGGGCTTTCTAGTTTCTAGACTTGAATCCAAAAAACCGAAAATCGAATCAAAATAAAGCAAATCACAATCAAACTAAATTGAACTGCAAAAACTGGTTTCGGCCCTTCAAAAATGCTTATTTATATTAAGTAATAACTTGAATTGAAAAGTACTCGTAAAACTTTTTAATGATGTGGAACTGCCAAAGGGACATTTTATTGAGGAGTGGGGTGAGAGCATATTACTTCAACAACAACATCCAAGCCTTAGTCCCAAAAGATATTGGGGTCGGTTAAAATGAATCGATACATGATATCACAACCAAAAGGAAAAGAAAGAATAAAGATAAAAAGATAAGCTATTATGAAAAGATAATATAAAAAAGATGAATATATATAAAAATGATAAAATAAAAAGGCTGCAAATAATGCATATATATATATATATATATATATATATAAGGATAAAAAAAAACTAGGGAAAAAAAGATGAGGGAAAAAGATTATCAAGATCACTCCTTCACGTGAATACCCGCCCTCCACTTAGTTCTCTCTAAAGTCATGCCCTCATCCAACCCCATAAGAAGTATATCACTTCGAACTCCCCTAACCCACGTCTGTTTGGGTCTTCCTCTCCCTCTCTTCCCTGCCTCTCCTCCACACATCTCAACTCGTCTAACAGGTGCATCACTCGGTCTTCTACGCACATGACCAAACCACCGTAGGCGCGACTCCCGCATCTTGTCTTCAATAGGTGCTACTCCCACCCTTTGTCTGATTGTCTCATTCCTCATGCGGTCCTTCCTAGTATGCCCACACATCCAACGCAGCATGCGCATCTCTGCCACACTCATCTTTTGAATGTGACATTGTTTCACCGCCCAACACTCTACGACATACAGTAATGCAGGCCTAATTGCTGTCCTATAAAATTTACCCTTCAGTCTAGTCGGCATACCTCGGTCGCATAGAAATCCTGACGCACTCTTCCACTTCAGCCACCTTGTTCTGATTCTATGGGATACATCTCCATCTAACTCACCGTCCTTCTGAATTATGGAGCCCAAGTAACGGAACATATCGCTAACTGGTATCTCCTTACCATCCAGAGTAATTCCGCTATTACCACTACTTCTACCTCCACCAAACTTGCACTCCATGTACTCTGTCTTGCTCCGACTTAGTTTGAAACCCTTATTCTCCAATGTTTGTCGCCATACTTCCAACTTTGCTTTAAGACCTGATTGCGTCTCATCAATCAATACAATATCGTCGGCAAACATCATGCACCACGGTATATCGTCTTGAATTGACTTCGTAAGTTCATCCATGACTATGACAAATAAGAAAGGACTCAAGGCCGATCCTTGGTGCACTCCGATAGTAATAGGGAACTCTTCAGTCCTCCCTACACTAGTACGAACACTTGTAGTACAATCCTCATACATATCCATGATGATGCTGATATACTTGCGTGATATGCCTTTCCTAGTTAAGGCCCACCAAAGAACTTCTCGAGGTACCCTATCATATGCCTTTTCTAAGTCAATGAACACCAAATGCAGATCCTTATGAGCATCTCTATACTTCTCCATAAGTTGACGAAGAAGGTGAATAGCCTCAGTTGTTGAGCGACCAGGCATAAAACCGAATTGATTCTCTGAAATCTTCACAGTCCTTCGAAGTCTTTGCTCAATCACTCGCTCCCAAAGTTTCATGATGTGACTCATAAGCTTAATCCCTCGATAGTTGGCACATTCTTGTACATCACCTTTATTCTTAAATAAAGGGATAAGAGTACTCTTCCTCCAACTCGTTGGCATCTTGTTGTTTCTCCAAATCATGTTGAAAAAACTTGTTAACCACTCGACGCCTCTCTCTCCCAAACTTCTCCAAGCCTTGATCGGTATGCCATCTGGCCCCATTGCTCTTTTCCGTCCCATCTTCCTCAGAGCTTCTTTAACTTCCGTTGTTTGGATCCTTCTCACAAAATCACGGTTAACCATACAATCTGGTATGGACAAATCGCCGATATCTTGCGTTTTGTTCCCGTTGAATAGTGTATCAAAGTATGACCTCCACCTCTCTTTTATCTCTCCGTCGTCCATTAATATCCTCTGATCAACATCCTTCACACACTTAACTTTTGAAATATCTTGAGTTCTGCGATCACGAAGACGAGCAAGTCTATAAATATCTAGTTCTCCTTCCTTAGAGTCCAACTTTTCATACAACTCCTTGTTCACTTTCCCTCGTTCTTCCCTTACGGCTTTCTTTGCTTGTCTTTTAGCCTCCCTGTATGCTTCTATGTTCTCATCACTCCAATTTGTCCCCAACTTTTTGTAACAATCTCTTTTGTTCCTTTTGGCTTGTTTCACCTCATCATTCCACCAAGATGTGTCCTTTTTAGGTGGCCGACATCCTTTAGATTCTCCAAGTACCTCCTTTGCCACTTTGTTAATGGTCAACTCCATTGATAACCACACATCATCCACTTGTGTTTCATTATCAATACGCCATACATCTTCACCGACCATTTTGTGTGTAAAGCTTTGTTGAAGATCTCCCTCTAGCCTCCACCACTTTATCTTTGGCTCCACTTGTTGTTTAACTTGTCTTCTATGGTTCTTAACTCGAAAGTCAAGCACAAGCATCCTATGCTGAGTGACAACACTCTCACCTGGAATAACCTTACAATCAGTGTAGCTAGTTCTCCCAGTGGTCCGTACTAAGAAGTAGTCAATTTGGGTACTATTAGCTCCACTTTTATAGGTTACAAGGTGAGAGTCTCTTTTCTTAAACCAAGTGTTCATTATAGCCAACTCATACGTCAAGGCAAAATCCAAAATGTTCTTTCCCGCCTCATTCCTAGTGCCAAAACCATGTCCGCCATGAATATTCTCAAAGCCATCACGACTCGAGCCCACATGCCCGTTGAGGTCACCTCCTATGATCAACTTCTCTCCCCTTGGCACTCGTCGCACCACGTCTTCAAGATCTTCCCAGAACTGTTGAGTTGTAGATGCATCCAATCCCACTTGTGGTGCATAGGCACTTACCACAGACACAATCTCACCTCTTATCACCAATTTAATGCTCATGAAGCGATCGTTCTTCCTGAAGACTTCTACCACATTCTCAACATAGTCACGCGCCACAATAATGCCTACCCCATTTCTAGTCTTATCTCTCCCCGAATACCACAAGTTAAAACCTCCGGGATTAATTTCGCGTGCTTTCTGTCCAACCCATTTAGTTTCTTGCACACACATAATGCTGATATTCCTTCTGCTCATAACCTCGACTACCCAGCATATTGTTTAAATGAGAAAATTGAGAAAAGAGGTTAATTTATACGGAGTATGAATAAACACAACTGATAAGATGTCCTATCATCTAGAAACTTCCCAAGCTCCGAAGATCAGGAATGTGTTCACCCCAAGAACTACATTCTGAAGTTCCAGAATTTGATCGTTTGCAATGAGAATACTTGCTGGCCGTACTATCATTGGGAACAAGACGCAAAAGGAAGAGAACATGCCAGGTATGTTTTATGTTCTAATACAAAATGAGGATATCATCCAGGCATTCTTCGATACATAATTTTGTTTTTCTTTACAGTAGAAAATACAATTATGAAATGTTTTTTTTTTGTATGGGGATTATATACAAAAAAATAGTAATGCAGGGAAGACAGAAATTATTATTTAAAAACAAAACGTAAAGTAGTAATGCAGGGAAGACACAGATAAGTTTGATTTAAAAACAAAACGATGTAGGCAATCAAATTTATAGGTACTTCACAAACTGAATTGAAGACGCATTAGAAAAGTGTTGATGTTCTTTGCATATATATTTTGAGTCGTATATATCGATAACTTTAGTCCTATATATGTTTTCAATCATTAATCAAACTCTGGTTATTCTGAATTAGAAATCTTAGAAGAAATTTAATTGTTGAAACTTGGAACTAAAGAATGAAATATGATTAATTCAAAGAACCAAAATATAACTTTAGGATACACGAGTGTGTGTGTAGTTTAGATTAGTATACAGCTTTTAAAGTATGACAAACATAATCTATATCCCTTTTATGTGATACAATATCACATATAGTCATAGTAAGTATATAAGTACAAATCCAAATCTGATAAAAAGATAACACTTTGAATCTAATACAAACGTATGAGCTGATTTTTTAGAGCAAACAAACAATAAAAAGATGCAATTGACAGTGTTTTTATATTTTATATCAACACCTTAGATATATATTCAGTTATAAAATATATGATAATATGATACATATAAAACAGATTTACTTTGTATAACTTCTGAGTTCTGATATACTTGGCCTTTATATAGGTTTTTTAAAAAAGAGATGAAATCTTTATAATTCTTTATAATAATTTAATCTTTTCAAAAAAATTGTCTGCTTACAAATTCTTTAAAATAAAGACTCAGCTAAGCATGCTTCACAGCTTTCGATCTTCAACCTCATGTATTCTTACAATTAACAAATGGAAGCGTATAAAGTATAAACAACTCCTCAAAGCAAACATCATCCCATATACATACATCATTATAAAGATTAAACTTCTTCAAAAAAATGTCTGCTTACAAATTCTTAAAATCAAGACTCAGCTTACCATCCTTCACAGCTTTTGTGCTGCAACCTTATGTATATCCCGCAATGAACAACTTTAAGGTATAAACTAAATACACTTTCCCAATACAAGGATATAAACAACTCCTCAGAGCAAGTATAGCCTCATATTTTCAAGTTGAATTTATTTTTTCATGCTGTAATTGTTTTAGTAACATCAGAATTAACTTTTTGATAAGCCACACAGGTACCATAAAAAAATTGCACATAAACAATTAATCGTGTGGTTATCTGTTTGAACACATAAAAGAAGCAAACACAAGTTCAGGATACAAAGTAGTACTTTGAACTAAACATAGCTCAGTTTGAATTCGATTTTAAATAAAACTAATAATTGGGATTACAAAACAATAAAAATACAATGCATACACACACACACACACATATATATATACGTTTAATACACTCACTAAACCGGACATGATAAAATAGGCAGATAGTATTTAACATAGACAGAAAAGTTGTCTGTTTTAGAATGAAGAGTGCAATACAGTATTTGGACATTTCAGATCGTAAATTACTATTTTCTTTGCCTCATTTTTTATTATCGTACCAAGTATTTTATCTCTTTTATTACATTATTATTGCTTATTGATTATTGATAGTCTTGGTTTAGGTGTTTACCTTTTATTCAAAGAAACATACATACGATCTCACATTCAATCTCATAATAGTTTCCGCCGGAGATCAAGTTACAACTAAAGTGATCAGTGATCTAGAACTCGCTAGGCACTAGTCGGGCGGCGAGCACCGCCTAGCGCCTAGGGCATCTAGGCGCCCACTAATCGCCAGCCAAGTATCATAATGTATTTTTAAAATTCCTAGAACTATTGGTAGTACAAATGATTAAATAAATACGTAGTATAATATATGTCAATCATGTATTCATATAAGAGGTATCAACATAATCGTATATAGTTGTTCATCCAAAAAGCAAAATTCATAGCTGTCAAAGAGAAAAACAGTTTAAATGAACATAATCGTAGAGTATAAACATAGTTGTTCATCCAAAAAGCAAAAAACATACTCCCTCCGTCCCTAAAAGGATTGCCAAGTTTGATCAGCACGTAGAATAATAAAGTAAAAACTGTGTGGTAGAGATTTGTGCAAAGGAGAGAGAAATAACAGAAAACACAAATTGATTGACTAATAGGGAAAGTGGCAAAGTTTTTGGGACAACCAAAAAAAGAAAGTTGGCAAAGTTATAAGAGACGTAGGGAGTACTACGTGGCTTTCAAAGGCTCAAAGCAATAAACATAATTGTAGAGTTTAAATGAACACTAAACTTGCAGAAAAAAGTTTAAACGAACAAAGATTCAAGACTTAATTAGCACACGTGCAATGTGTTACTAGGCCCTATACTATTTCAACTTCTTGGCCAAACTGAAAATCAATCTCCATATTCATTTCTTCTGAATCAAATCGGAACTCATCATCATAAAGTTCTCTAAGAGCTAATTTGCAGGTTACTGACGTAAAATTTTAAAAAATAAGTTCTTCAATTCAAGGAATGATTAAAAGTCCCCATCACTTAGGATAAACCGATGAAGTAGCTAAGATGATACTCCATTGCTCCATTGAGGACTTTTAAAAGTCCATGGATTTTAAAAGTTTAGGTGCATTCAATGTGGATTTTTAAAAGTCTATAAAAGTCTAGGTGTATTCGACGTAGACTTTTAAAAGTCTATAAAAGTCTAGGCATATTCAAAGTTCCATTCATTCTTATGGATTTCTAAAATCCTGGATTCTTGTGGACTTTTAACTCATTTTTAGTACATTAATTCTCCTCAATTGTCTCTTCTCCTAACTAAATATTTCCGTGGACTTTTCTTATATCGATTCTTCATCCCCTCCCACCCCATCCCTCCCCCCAACTCTCCTCTTCTTTAGCGAAGCCACTCCTTCCCGTTCGATCTTTCTTCTTCTTCAGTCCAGCTCGCCGCACTCCTCTCCTTCCGTTCTTTTTCTTCATCAGCGTGCCCCACCCCACCCCCCTCAATTCCCCCTCTATTCGTTAATCCCATATTGGTTCGATTCTAGAAGTTTCTAGAAGAACTGATATAAGAATCGATAGTATTACATCAGTGCAATTCTGGTACGTCGTCACTTAACTATTAAGAAAATAAATATTTTAACTATTACTTTCTTTCATCATTAAATCGCTAACACATAAAAATATAATTTCAAGTTAATAAATATATAACCGTAAATAAGTACACAGAATTTTACAAGATAGAAATGAAAAGAAAACAATTATTAAGAAGATAAACTGGATTGCAACTATGTTTGTACCACATGTAGCAATGAGTGTAACGGTTGTGTAACGATTAATGTTCTTACTCATTAATAAAATGACCAAAATTCTTGAGCATTCTATAAATTTTGAGTTTTTTTTTAATAAAAATAAATTTATATTCTTATGCTTCATTAATTCTTGTAGAACTTTGTGTTGCTATATGAATTACATTTATTTATTTATTTATTTATTTGTTTGTTTGTTTCTTATCATACTCCGTATTATACAGTGGAAATTACTGAGGGTAGGACAAAAACATAGTATTCTTCTTAAAGTATGATCATATGTTTGATTTTCCTTAAATAGGACTAAATATTACATATTCACCTCTAATTTAATTAATTAATATAATTAATTGCCTCTAGTTCCCTTACATAACCAAATCGATTTTGTTGGTGGCGGATCAGTCTGATGACGACAACGGGGAACTCCGGTGACGGGGCGGATGGGCAAATCGGTAGCGGTGATCTAGGTGAAAATTTCGACGACCAGAAGTGGTGGTCCGCATTTAAAAGTCTATGGACTTTTTGAAAGTCAATAAATTTATCCATGGATTTAAAAGTCCATAGAATTCATTCATAAAAAAGTCTATGGATTTAAAAATCCATTGACTTTTTTAAGAATCCACGAATTAAAAAAAATACACCACAATCCATATTCAATACACCCCTAAAGTTGCAAACTTTATCGAACTTTTTCAAACAAATACACTTGTAAAAAAACATCATAGGTAAATCGGTAATAAATGTGTGAGTGTGTACCCAATCTGCGAATATCAGTTTTGCACATATTCCAACCAAGTTCTTAGGACTGAAACACTAATAAAAAATACGAATATTTTTTAATAGAAAAGAAAATGAAGAGATAATATTACCTGCCGGTTGAGTTTGACAATTCTGAGAACTCCTAGGATGCAGGGTGATAGTGCCGACTGCCAGCTGCCAGGTAATCAAAGTCACCCCCAAGCTTGCGTGAGAGGCGTGGAGCTGAAGGAGGAAGGGGAAAAGAGGCGTTTAGAATAGAAAATAAGCAAAATGGGCGTTCAGGGTTAAAAATTGGGCCAGCGGCGAAAAATAAGTAATGGGCCGGGTAGCCCATTTTACAGATTTGGGCGATTTGGTGACCTAGGCGGTCTAGGCATCAGATTAATTGCTGGTCCGTTTACGTTGCTCGAAAAAGTAGAATTCGCCACGGTTGGTTACTGCCAATCTCCTACGCGGTGCCTTGAGCGATTTTTAGATCCATGAAAGTGATATACACAAACAAATACTCTCTCGTCCTTCCGGTTCTAAATAAATTTCACACTTTGACTTCATACAAATTAAGAAAATAAATTTGACTTTACTGTAGAGTACACTGTTGTGACACTGTTTGACACTGTTTTGCACTGTTTTGATGTAGATAATTTGCCAAATAAGGAAGGGAAACGAAGTGTGAAATTTATTTTGGACCTATCCAAAATAGAAAGTGTGAAGTTTATTTAGGACCAGAGGGAGTAATATAACCATTTAAATGAAACTTAAAAAAATTGAAGACTTCTGAGCTCACCGCCCCAGCTGGAAAGGCAAAACCGTGTTGATCTATGAGCTCAAATGCATTTAAGTGTTAAAGGAATAATTAAAGCTTGTGACTCACAAAGATGCAAGCTTTTCGGTCATTTTTATTTCATGTATTTTGGAGAAGGGATGAATAGAATCTTGGTGAATGTTCCCGACCTTTGTCTTACTGATTTTGGTGATTTATCTATCGGGTTAAAAAAAATTATAGTCACCAACTTAAATATTACTTCGTACAATTAATGTTATTTAAAATACCTAATTAACACATCTAGAAATAAACTACAATATTTTAATAGACTCAACAATCACTCCATATTTAATATACTCACATGAGTGGTTTTTTAAGAATAATTTTTTTTTGAATATTTTGCAAAATTATATTCGTAGATTGAAGGAGAAATTAATAGATTTAGAATTTGATAATTACATACAACGTATAAAATTATCACTTTCGGATAGGATTAATAAAAATATATCATCATCTTTTTTACAATAAGTAATTTATGTATTTTTTATATTTAATTGTAATAGTACTAAGGTTTTTAATCGTATATTTTTATTAATAATGAAATTGGTGTTGTAGATATATCATCATCTTTTTTACAATAAGTAATTAATGTATTCTTTATATTTAATTGTAATAGTATTAAGGTTTTTAATAGTATATTTTTATTAATAATGAAATTGGTGTTGTAGATAGAATTACCATTAATTATATATCCAACAACTAACATATGACTACAATTATTTTTTGTAGATGGACTTTCTTCCAAGATTTAGAGTCCGCTTGGTAACAATAAAATTGGCTGAATTGGCTGATTATGTTGACATTTATGAATTTCTGGCTGGAGTGGCTATATTGGCTGATTCTACGGATTCATGAAAAAATTATAATTAAAATATCTATTATTAATAAATTAAATAAAAAATTATATGAAAAATAGCTAAAATGATCCTCTACAGTAGCTTCAGCCAAAACAGTCAGAAAAGTAACTCTAACCTTACTTTTTCGGCTTATTACAACTTTCAGCACGCGAAATCAAAAATTACTTGTTTGGTGAAAAAAACTGGCTGATAAGCAGGGGCGGACCCACCCTAGGGCTAGGGGGTGCCCGTGCCCCTGCGGTGATATATATATATATATATATATATATATATATATATATATATATATATATATATATATATATATATATATATATATATTGGAAAATTCTCAGGTCCAGCATCTCCCGGTCCGAACGTCGTCCGAACACCGCCGTTTGGGGCGGTTCCAGGTGGAATTGTTTGATGAAATTTTTTGAGCATGTTCCTCATCAAGTCTAGTTTATCCATACCAAATTTCAGGTCAACATTCGACCGGGAAGGCAATCAAATAATTCGTTGAAGTTAACTGCGTTTTTCTATGTATAATTTGGCGCAGTTAACTCCAACGAATTATTTGACTGCCTTCCCGATCGAATTTTGAGCTGAAGTTTGGTATGGATAAACTAGACTTGATGAGGAACATGCTCAAAAAAATTCATCAAAATATTCCGCCGGGAACCGCCCCAAACGCCGGTGTTCAGACGGCGTTCGGACAGAAAAGTGCTGGACAGAAAAGTTATGCCGATTGAGACATATGATGTTAATATTAGAGATGAGTTGAGGAGACGTTATTTGAGAAAAGGTCCTTGCCAACCGCGTGACTTTAAATTTCCACAAAGTGATTTTAATGGGTGCAACAGATCATTCCAAAAACAGTGGTTTTATTTAAATTTTATAGTTTTGTTTATTGGTATACTCGTGATGCATATGATTTTTTTCTAGACTAGTATATCATTTCTTTGTTATTGTGCCCCTGCGAGTCATGAGTCCTGGTTCCACCACTGCTGATAAATGTGATAAGCCATAAAAAGAGGTCGTCAAACGGGCTCTTAGAATATAGGGGTTGATTATAATAAAAAGATAGACTTAACGTCTAAAATTATTCGCACCCACTTTTACATGTATTTGTTACACGCTATGTGCATAGTTATGTACTTTTTGACTAACGCCAAATTAAAACTCATTTGTTTAGAAAAATGCCACTAGCCACGTTTTAGTCAAACATGCAGTGGCATTATAGACCAATAAGTGACACATCCGACCCAACTCATTCCCTCCATGCGACCGTACCCTTGCTTCATGAAAATTTTAAGTCTGCCATTGATCTCAAATAATGTAATCTCACGAAAGTATAGTACCAGTACGGGTATGTGGATGGATTTGTTTGTATACGTGAAACTTTAAATTAATTACAAATATGGCTTGAGGGTTACCCAGGGCCGGTCCTGGGGGCAGCAGAGGCAACCGCCCTAGGTCCGAAAAAAAGTAGAAAGAAAATTAGGTCCAAGTTTTTTTCTTTATATAAAATCTGAGTAGGCTTCTTTTTTATATATATAATTTCAATTAATTAATTAGGCCTAATGTGTAATATTTGTTGAAAATTTGAAAATTTTAAAACATAAGTAAAAAATCTTAAATGGAGCTAGACAAGTTTTAAAAAAGAATTTAAATTTAGTTTTGATTTTTAAATAGAGTTGGTTGTCAGTCAACACATTTATTGTTGAATCAATAAAAGCACGTCTCTTCACATCTTTTTAGCCCTTAAGACTTCTTATTCTTTTTTATTACAAAATTATCAATTTATATTATTGTATTTGGGTTGTTAGTGCCTCCAATTCTCAAACATCATCCCAAGTATCTATTATGCCTCAAAAAACTTAATGGATTAGCAATTTTAAAAATTGGACATGTGATCTTGGAAAAGATTGATTATAAAGCAATTATTGATTATTTTTTCATTCACAATGTTTTTTTGTGATACTTGTGTTGTTACTTTTGTCCAAATATGTATTTCAAATAATATGAAGGTGAATTTCATCTTTATTTTATAACCTTTATTAGATAGTTGTAGGGAGAATTCCTGAAATAGGAGTAATTTTTTTTTTGAGAATTTCAAAAAGGACTGTCATGTATTTATTTTATGAATATGAGTAATTACTGTCATGTTCGGAAAATACCACCATGTGTAAAGTACGATACTGTCAAAATATGGCAGTAATTACTTCTATTTAGGTAATGAAAACATGATAATCTTAGTTTTAGAATATACAGACGTTTTTAGTCCTATTTAGAGTAATTTCTCATAGTTTTATTTGTAATTTTACTTTAAGTAAGTATAATTTCCTGTTTGTCTTGGAAATAAGGCCAAAACAGTGTCGCCCATAGGCCCAAAACAGAAGAGGACCGGCCCTGGGGTTACCTCTGTGAGTAAGCCTCATTTTTACTTCACAATTATTAGTGGCTTCCTTTCTCATACTTTTGTGGTCTTCATTGCTTATTTGACTCACTTATTGTTGCCCCTTTCTCTTTCTGTCTCCACTTTCTAATGCACCAAAACAGGAATGAAGTCGAAACATTTGCAATTAACTTTATAATGACAAACCACTAGTTGTGCTTTTAAGGTGTTAGTTGGTTGGTTTCTCTTTTCACTTGCAGGAAAAAGCTGCTTTATATATTGATTTAAACTCAAGTTAGCAACCCTTTTAAAGCCATTTCCCCACTATTATACTATTGCACTTCAACATAAAATAATCTATCGAGTGGTCTGTGTTTCTTTCAACACTTCAATCACTTCTTATCCTACTACATATCTAGCTTAGTAGTGTTTGCAGATTGACCAATAGATTGTAAAATCCAAAAAGAAAATAAAGTGGAAACATATATTGACCGTGGGTGAGCTAGAAAACACATTGTGGGTCCGGTTGTGGGCCCCTCTGGGAGTGTGTGTGTGGGGGGGGGGGGGGGGGGGTCTGACTCCAATCAAAGAAAATGGGGAAGGACACTCATTAGGGTTTCAATTACGGACAAAGGACCACGTTCACCAATTAGCCACATTATACTGTTTATGTGTCCTAAAACTTTAGCCCATCTTACCCTACAATTAGCCACATTATACTGTTTATATGTGTCCTAAAACTTTAGCCCATCTTACCCTACAAATGACTACCAGTCTATGATCTGCTCCCTCTTGGTGCTGCCCAAGTCCGACCAATTGATGCAATATGTGAGCAAAAGGGGGGAAAATCATGATGCATGGTGCACTTAGGGCTGCAGCATACTCGATATACAAGTACTACTAAGGCGTGAGTTATGCCCCTGGAATGAAACCAGATCCGCTTGAGCGTTTACTAGAGGCTAGTAGAGTGGGGTATTAATTAAAGTAAATACAATGGAGACTCTAGCTAGAGACAGAGAGAGACCTTGTATTTGCAATGACAGAAGCATTAGTTCAAGCTTATAGGAGCCATATATGAATCCTTTTCGAGTCATATGACTTATGTCACATCATCATCACCGCACTTTGTTGTAGTGGAGGTCTCTACTAAAAAATGTGTGGGTGT